GTATAGTGAATAGTATAGAGAATAGCGATCCGTATAATAAGAGAGGATAGAATAGAAATAGTGATCCGAATAGTAATCCATATAGTGATCAGTATATAGAAATAGTATAGTGAATAGTATAGAGAATAGCGATCCGTATAATAAGAGAGGATAGAATAGAAATAGTGATCCGAATAGTAATCCATATAGTGATCAGTATAGAGAAATAGTATAGTGAATAGTATAGAGAATAGCGATCCGTATAATAAAGAGGATAGAATAGAAATAGTGATCCGAATAGTAATCCATATAGTGATCAGTATAGAGAAATAGTATAGTGAATAGTATAGAGAATAGCGATCCGTATAATAATAAAGGATAGTGTAGAAATAGTGATCCGAATAGTAATCCGTATAGTGATCAGTATAGAGAAATAGTATAGTGAATAGTATAGAGAATGGCGATCCGTATAATAAGAGGATAGATAGAATAGAAATAGTGATCCGAATAGTAATCCGTATAGTGATCAGTATAGAGAAATAGTATAGTGAATAGTATAGAATAGCATCCGTATAATAAGAGAGGATAGAATAGAAATAGTGATCCGAATATAATCCATAAGTGAGGATAGTATAGTGAATAGTATAGAATAGTGATCCGTATAAAGAAGAGGATAGAATATATAGTGATCCGAATAGTAATCCATATAGTGAATAGTATAGAGAAATAGTATAGTGAATAGTATAGAATAGCGATCCGTATAATAAGAGAGGATAGAATAGAAATAGTGATCCGAATAGTAATCCATATAGTGATCAGTATAGAGAAATAGTATAGTGAATAGTATAGAGAATAGCGATCCGTATAATGAGGATAGTAGAAATAATGATCCGAATAGTAATCCGTATAGTGAATATAGAGAAATAGTATAGTGAATAGTATAGAGAATAGCGATCCGTATAATAAAGGATAGTTTTTAGAAATAGTGATCCGAATAGTAATGTATAGTGATAGTATAGAGAAATAGTATAGTGAATAGCATAGAGAATAGCGATCCGTATTATAAGAGAGGATAGAATAGAAATAGTGATCCGAATAGTAATCCATATAGTGATCAGTATAGAGAAATAGTATAGTGAATAGTATAGAGAATAGCGATCCGTATAATAATAAAGGATAGAATAGAAATAGTGATCCGAATAGTAATCCGTATAGTGATCAGTATAGAGAAATAGTATAGTGAATAGTATTGAGAATAGCGATCCGTATAATAATAGAGGATAGAATAGAAATAGTGATCGAATAGTAATCCATATAGTGATCAGTATAGAGAAATAGTATAGTGAATAGTATAGAGAATAGCGATCCGTATAATAAGAGGGGATAGAATAGAAATAGTGATCCGAATACTAATCCATATAGTGATCAGTATAGAGAAATAATATAGTGAATAGTATAGAGAATAGCGATCCGTATAATAATAGAGGATAGAATAGAAATAGTGATCCGAATAGTAATCCGTATAGTGATCAGTATAGAGAAATAATATAGTGAATAGTATAGAGAATAGCGATCCGTATAATAAGAGAGGATAGAATAGAAATAGTGATCCGAATAGTAATCCATATAGTGATCAGTATAGAGAAATAATATAGTGAATAGTATAGAGAATAGCGATCCGTATAATAATAAAGGATAGTGTGGAAATAGTGATCCGAATAGTAATCCATATAGTGATCAGTATAGAGAAATAGTATAGTGAATAGTATAGAGAATAGCGATCCGTATAATAAGAGAGGATAGAATAGAAATAGTGATCCGAATAGTAATCCATATAGTGATCAGTATAGAGAAATAGTATAGTGAATAGTATAGAGAATAAGCGATCCGTATAATAAGAGAGGATAGAATAGAAATAGTGATCCGAATAGTAATCCATATAGTGATCAGTATAGAGAAATAGTATAGAATAGTATAGAGAATAGCGATCCGTATAATAAGAGAGGATAGAATAGAAATAGAGATCCGAATAGTAATCCATGTAGTGATCAGTATAGAGAAATAGTATAGTGAATAGTATAGAGAATAGCGATCCGTATAATAAGAGAGGATAGAATAGAAATAGTGATCCGAATAGTAATCCATATAGTGATCAGTATAGAGAAATAGTATAGTGAATAGTATAGAGAATAGCGATCCGTATAATAAGAGAGGATAGAATAGAAATAGTGATCCGAATAGTAATCCATATAGTGATCAGTATAGAGAAATAGTATAGTGAATAGTATAGAGAATAGCGATCCGTATAATAAGAGAGGATAGAATAGAAATAGTGATCCGAATAGTAATCCATATAGTGATCAGTATAGAGAAATAGTATAGTGAATAGTATAGAGAATAGCGATCCGTATAATAAGAGAGGATAGAATAGAAATAGTGATCCGAATAGTAATCCATATAGTGATCAGTATAGAGAAATAGTACAGTGAATAGTATAGAGCATATCGATCCGTATAATAATAAAGGATAGTGTAGAAATAGTGATCCGAATAGTAATCCGTATAGTGATCAGTATAGAGAAATAGTATAGTGAATAGTATAGAGAATAGCGATCCGTATAATAAGAGAGGATAGAATAGAAATAGTGATCCGAATAGTAATCCGTATAGTGATCAGTATAGAGAAATAGTATAGTGAATAGTATAGAGAATAGCGATCCGTATAATAATAAAGGATAGTGTAGAAATAGTTATCCGAATAGTAATCCGTATAGTGATCAGTATAGAGAAATAGTATGGTGAATAGCATAGAGAATAGCGATCCGTATAATAAGAGAGGATAGAATAGAAATAGTGATCCGAATAGTAATCCATATAGTGATCAGTATAGAGAAATAGTATAGTGAATAGTATAGAGAATAGCGATCCGTATAATAATAAAGGATAGTGTAGAAATAGTGATCCGAATAGTAATCCGTATAGTGATCAGTATAGAGAAATAATATGGTGAATAGCATAGAGAATAGCGATCCGTATAATAAGAGAGGATAGAATAGAAATAGTGATCCGAATAGTAATCCATATAGTGATCAGTATAGAGAAATAATATAGTGAATAGTATAGAGAATAGCGATCCGTATAATAATAAAGGATAGTGTAGAAATAGTGATCCGAATAGTAATCCGTATAGTGATCAGTATAGAGAAATAGTATAGTGAATAGTATAGAGAATAGCGATCCGTATAATAAGAGAGGATAGAATAGAAATAGTGATCCGAATAGTAATCCGTATAGTGATCAGTATAGAGAAATTGTATAGTGAATAGTATAGAGAATAGCGATCCGTATAATGAGAGAGGATAGAATAGAAATAGTGATCCGAATAGTAATCCATATAATGATCAGTATAGAGAAATAGTATAGTGAATAGTATAGAGAATAGCGATCCGTATAATAATAAAGGATAGTGTAGAAATAGTGATCCGAATAGTAATCCGTATAGTGATCAGTATAGAGAAATAGTATAGTGAATAGCATAGAGAATAGCGATCCGTATAATAAGAGAGTATAGAATAGAAATAGTGATCCGAATAGTAATCCATATAGTGATCAGTATAGAGAAATAGTATAGTGAATAGTATAGAGAATAGCGATCCGTATTATAAGAGAGGATAGAATAGAAATAGTGATCCGAATAGTAATCCATATAGTGATCAGTATAGAGAAATAGTATAGTGAATAGTATAGAGAATAGCGATCCGTATAATAATAAAGGATAGTGTAGAAATAGTGATCCGAATAGTAATCCGTATAGTGATCAGTATAGAGAAATAGTATAGTGAATAGCATTGAGAATAGCGATCCGTATAATAAGAGAGGATAGAATAGAAATAGTGATCCGAATAGTAATCCATATAGTGATCAGTATAGAGAAATAGTATAGTGAATAGTATAGAGAATAGCGATCCGTATAATAAGAGGGGATAGAATAGAAATAGTGATCCGAATAGTAATCCATATAGTGATCAGTATAGAGAAATAGTATAGTGAATAGCATAGAGAATAGCGATCCGTATAATAATAGAGGATAGTGTAGAAATATTTATCCGAATAGTAATCCGTATAGTGATCAGTATAGAGAAATAGTATAGTGAATAGCATAGAGAATAGCGATCCGTATAATAAGAGAGGATAGAATAGAAATAGTGATCCGAATAGTAATCCATATAGTGATCAGTATAGAGAAATAGTATAGTGAATAGCATATAGAATAACGATCCATATAATAATAGAGGATAGTGTAGAAATAGTGATCCGAATAGTAATCCGTATAGTGATCAGTATAGAGAAATAGTATAGTGAATAGTGATCCGTATAATAACAGAGGATAGAATAGAAATAGTGATCCGAATAGTAATCCGTATAGTGATCAGTATAGAGAAATAATATAGAGAATAGTGATCCGTATAATAACAGAAGATAGAATAAAAATAGTGATCAATTAGACGCCACGCTAATTCCCATATATACATTTTCTTTACCATCACGTGATTTACTTATTCCAAATGGGATCGCCTGTGTTTGCTCTCTGGCGATCTATGTTGAAACTACAGTGTCGACAGCAGCACTTTATTCCTATACAACAGACATAAAAGAATAAGAAAAATAACAGAACAAAAGACATACTCGTCAAGAGGTTGCATAAAATCCCGAGATGGAAAACTGATATTAAAGAAAGAAAAAATCCTTAACAGATGGAACAAGGCCACCAGAGTGCTTTTCCACGAGGAAAGAGTAGAACCAGTAGTACAGAGAACAAATACAGGCTACACATGAATGAATCACACTCAACCCAGATATGTGGAGGGAAATGGCCAGGTGCTTAACCGCGCAGCGACCCTACGACGACACGCGGTAGATTCTTGATTCCGATGTAAAGTCATTTTTAGAAATTGCTTATAACTGCTGGTTATTGTACTTTTAAGTACTAATGTTCGTATTTTTTTTTCGTTATTTTCTGGAATGTTTCGCCGATGGATTTTTGAAGTCCTGTATATAACGATAAACTACACCTCGGTCCAGTCATATCTATCTATCTATCTATCTATCTATCTATCTATTTCGGTCCAGTCATATCTATCTATCAATCTATCTATGTTCATATCTTTTTATGTTCATATCTATCTATCTATCTATCTATCTATCTATCTATCTATCTATCTCGGTCTAGTCATATCTATCTATCTATCTATCTATCTATCTATCTATCTATCTAATTCTCTTAATATCTATCTTTCGATCTATCTCAGCTTATTCATATCTATCTATCTATCTATCTATCTATCTATCTATCTATCTATGTTCATATCTATCTATATATCTATATATCTATCTATCTATCTATCTATCTATCTATGTCTGTTCATATCTATATATGTTCATATCTCTCTATCTATCTATCTATCTATCTATCTCGGTCTAGTCATATCTATCTATCTATCTATCTATCTATCTCTGTTCATATCTATATATGTTCATATCTATCTATCTATCTATCTCGGTCTAGTCATATCTATCTATCTATCTAATTCTGTTATATCTATGTCTGTTCATATCTATATATGTTCATATCTATCTATCTATCTATCTATCTATCTATCTATGTCTGTTCATATCTATATATGTTCATATCTATCTATCTTGGTCTAGTCGTATCTATCTATCTATGTCTGTTCATATCTACATATGTTTATATCTATCTATCTATCTATCTATCTATGACGAGGATGAACTTAAGTCCAACGGCTATCCTGTAGAATAGGGTCGACTGGGCACTATCGCTATGGATGCAGCCAGTGTTGCGATTATATCGTTTGGCGAAGGCCTAACTAAACTGTTGTCTACGCCTAGGCGGAGGGTTCTCTCTATGGAATCAACGGTCATGTGTGTGTGAGAAAAGGGAGCCTTTAAATTGGGGTGCACCGCTCGTAGAGGGATGGTCACCGACAAGTTTTTTTTCTTTATGTGCCATGTCCCCCTCGGGACGTAGGCGATCATGGTTCTTTACAATTTCCCAACCCTTGTAGTCTTTTCATTATTTCTCCTAAACTCTGCTGCGCCATCCATAAACCTACGGAAATTGAAGAGAACTAAGGCTGCAGCCAAATTGCAATTCGATACACTCTTGGACGGCCCGAATCTGAAAGAGAAATATACGAGCAACGTGAACAACAGATACAGTGGACAAAATGAAAATGGAAATTCAACGTGGAACACACTAAGGGAAGATTTAGTAGCATCGGCAAACGAGATCATCCCAAAAGTAAATAGACAGAGAAAAAATGAATGGATGATAAATGAGATTCTGGACATGATGGAAATTTAAGAGAAGACAATGCCAAGACACGGAATAGAATACAGAACACTACACAAAAAATAAGGAACAAATGCAGGCAGGCAAAAGAGGAATGACTCAACGAAACTGTGCAAAAATAGAAAGAATGTGTATCACAGATAAAGCAGATACGCCGGTCGACATTTTTTTCGACCCAAATGTTGTTAGCCAATGGGCACATGTTTCTGGCTTATTTGTTCACGCTGAAACTGAAAATCAAGTCCATTTTGCCCCATCACATCACGTTTTCTCAGTACAGATAATTTCTATTTTACTTAAAATAAGCCAAAATATTCAAGTAGAACCAGCCTTAAATGTTTTCAGGTTAGAATAACTTATCATAAAAGAAAAACTATCCCAATAACTTAAAGAATGCATTTTCAATTCAGAAAAGGTCTTCAGAAAAATCTCACACAAAATTAAATTAAGGCAAACATGTTTTATCAATTTTTCAATCAAAACTATGATACAAAGGAATGAAAAATACATTCTTTTTTGTCCATCCAAATGTATAAATCTTCTCTTCTTGGAATTTCTACGATGCTTTTGAAAAGGTTGTTCTCTTGATGCTCCAGCAGAAATCCGCCATCATATTAACATCCTATCTGTAAAGTGCCTAATTGGCTGTGCCTATCTGGTGTTTGGCGACTATTTTAAGCGCTGATAAAGACAATTCTAATCTTGCTAGTCTCGAATACACTCACCTAACACCCTAATAACCCTCATTTATCGATGTCCCTATGTATGTTTATACAGAGATTGCATGACAATACCAGACCTCCGTAAATTCAAGCGATATGATAAAATCTTATGACGTTTTCTGTCTTAAAGTGAAAACTACTAATAAAAACTGAAATCGCTGTTCTTGAATGACTTCTAAAAAGCTTATTCTATGAAAAGTAGAGAAGAAACACAAATCACAAAGTTTTAACCATCTATGAACATTGAGTGCACAAGAACATTTTCCAGTGAAAGTCAAGCATTTTCAGGTCAGCTTATCTGAAGAGAAATAGGTTAGAATTCATATTGAAAGTTATTTGGATATTTTTCTTTGAATGATAAATCATTTTAACATGAAACGAAATGTTTCAACTATGACACTCGCATATTTAAGCCGTGTCATATCCCTGTGAATTAGGTATTTTGGCCTATTTTAAGAAAAATAGAAATTATCTGTACTGAGAAAACGTGATATGACAGGGGAAAATGGAGTTGGTTTTCAGATTCAGCGTGAACAAATAGGCCAGAAACATGCGCCCATTGCCCAAAATTTGGGTCGAAAAAACATTAACCGGTTTAATATGCTCATGTATTAGAGAAGCCGCTTTATTCCAAGCCAATGAAGTAAAGAAAAACGAAAATATAGAACTGTCAATTGTAACAAGATAGATTGTATGATTATTAGCAAGAGGTACAACCTAAGTTGCTACTTAAGATTCTGAGACATCTAACTCAAATAAGTACAGTAATTTAACTATATGGGAAGAGTAGTTTATTGTTATACTTACGAGAACATCACGTTGAGATTAAGTTACCGGTGATATTTATAAAAAAAACATAAGAGAACAGGACAAAAGACATACTCATCAAATATCAAGCATAAAATCTAAGGACAGGACACTGATATTTGTTATGGCCGGTTCCTTGTACCACGGTGATAGTCCAAGTTAGAACCAATAAAGAAGAACTCGAACACGGATATAGAATAACACAGATATATTACAAACAGGAATATATACAGAGAAGTAGAAGTGTTAGTACGAACAATCAGGTTTAGTAGAGAGAACAATGTAGTCTCGACCAGTATCACTATTCCAATGTCTTGCATTAATTGTCTGAACGCGACTCTGTTTCGGACTGCCTCTGACTCGACTCTTGAGTCGACTTGAACTACTGACGATATTATGTCAACCCCCCCCCCCCACGAGGGCGTCATGTGGCACAAGGCCTTTTTAACGTGGGATCTACTAGCCCGTGGGCTCGGCCAAAAATATGTCCATTGAACACGTATAAACGGGTTCAGGGTCAGTTTACCTCCCCGAAAGGGAATCCGCCCTTCGGCGTAGCCTCTTTCGGGTTCCTCCCCGCCCGAAGACAGAGAGTTCAACCGATCTGTCGTTCAAGAGTTGAGCGACGGACTATATTTAGTCGTCCCCCACGAGGGCGTCATGTGGCACAAGGCCTTTTTAACGTGGACATTCCCGAGCCATTAGGCTCGGCCAAAAAAACCCATTTGAACCCGTATAAACGGGGTTCAGGGCCATTTGACCTCCCGAAGGAGACTCCGCCCTTCGGCGTAGCCTCCTTCGGGTTTCCTCGAAAGCAGAGAGTTAAACCGAACCGTTCGCTCAGGAAGTTGAGCGACGGACTATATTTAATCGTGCCCCCACAAAGGGCGTCATGTGGCACAAGGCCTTTTTAACGTGGGCATTTCCTAGCCATTAGGCTCGGCCAAAAATAGCCCATTTGAAACCGTATAAACGGGTTCAGGGCCGGTTTTACCTCCCCGAAGGAGACTCCGCCCTTCGGCGTAGCCTCCTTCGGGTTCCTCTCCGTCCGTAGACAGAGAGTTGAACCGAACCGTTCGCTCAGAAAGTGAGCGACGGACTATATTTAGTCGTCCCCCCACGAGGGCGTCATGTGGCACAAGGCCTTTTTTTTAACGTGGGCATTTCCGAGCCATTAGGCTGGCAAAAAAATAGCCCATTTGAAACCGTATAAACGGGTTCAGGGCCGGTTTTACCTGTTTGAAGGAGACTCCGCCCTTCGGCGTAGCCTCCTTCGGGTTCCTCTCCGTCCGTAGACAGAGTTAAACCAAACCGTTCGCTCAGAAAGTGAGCGGCGGACGATATTCAGTCACCCCCCCCCACGAGGGTGTCATGTGGCACAAGGCCTTTTTAACGTGGGCATTCCCGAGCCATTAGGCTCGGCCAAAAAATAGCCCATTTGAACCCGTATAAACGGGTTCAGGGGTTTTACCTCCCGAAGGAGACTCCGCCCTTCGGCGTAGCCTCCTTCGGGTTCCTCCCTCCCGAAAGCAGAGAGTTAAACCGAACCGTTCGCTCAGAAAGTTGAGCGACGGACTATATTTAGTCGTCCCCCCACGAGGGCGTCATGTGGCACAAGGCCTTTTTAACGTGGGCATTTCTGAGCCATTAGGCTCGGCAAAAAATAGCCCATTTGAAACCGTATAAACGGGTTCAGGGCCGAGTTTACTCCCCGAAGGAGACTCCGCCCTTCGGCGTAGCCTCCTTCGGGTTCCTCTCCGTCCGTAGACAGAGAGTTGAACCGAACCGTTCGCTCAGAAAGTGAGCGACGGACTATATTTAGTCGTCCCCCACGAGGGCGTCATGTGGCACAAGGCCTTTTAACGTGGGCATTTAGGAGCCATTAGGCTCGGCCAAAAAAATAGCCCATTTGAAACCGTATAAACGGTTTCAGGGCTGATTTCATCTCCCGAAGGAGACTCCGCCCTTCGGCGTAGCCTCTTCCGGGTTCCTCCGTCCGTAGACAGAGAGTTAAACCAAACCGTTCGCTCAGAAAGTGAGCGGCGGACTATATTTAGTCGTCCCCCACGAGGGCGTCATGTGGCACAAAGGCCTTTTTAACGTGGGCATTTCCCAGCCATTAGGCTCGGCCAAAAATAGCCCATTTGAAACCGTATAAACGGGTTCAGGGGCCGGATTTTACCTCCCGAAGGAGACTCCGCCCTTCGGCGTAGCCTCCTTCGGGTTCCTCCGTCCGTAGACAGAGAGTTAAACCAAACCGTTCGCTCAGAAAGTGAGCGGCGGACGATATTCAGTCACCCCCACGAGGGTGTCATGTGGCACAAGGCATTTTTTAACGTGGGCAATTCCGAGCCATTAGGCTCGGCAAAAAATAGCCCATTTGAACCCGTATAAACGGGTTTCAGGGCCGGTTTACCTCCCCGAAGGAGACTCCGCCCTTCGGCGTAGCCTCCTTCGGGTTCCTGCCGCCCGAAAGCAGAGAGTTAAACCGAACCGTTCGCTCAGAAAGTGAGCGACGGACTATATTTAGTCGTCCCCCACGAGGGCGTCGCACAAGGCCTTTTTAACGTGGACATTCCCGAGTAAAAAATAGCTTTCCATTTGAACCCGTATAAACGGGTTCAGGGCCGGTTTTACTCCCCGAAGGAGACTCCGCCCTTCGGCGTAGCCTCCTTCGGGTTCCTCTCCGTCCGTAGACAGAGTTAAAACCAAACCGTTCGCTCAGAAAGTGAGCGGCGGACGATATTCAGTCCACCCCCCACGAGGGGTGTGTGGCACAAAGGCCTTTTAACGTGGGCATTCCTGAGCCATTAGGCTCGGCCAAAAAAAATAACCCATTTGAACCCGTATAAACGGGTTCAGGGCCTAGTTTACCTCCC